TTAACTAAAAATAATAAAATAAATGATGCAGGTTAAAATGCTTTACACGAAGTACAGAGCACAGTCCCAAGAATGCTATTGCCGTTTAACCTCTTTCTTGATTCTCCCAATCTTACAGTAAGGCCAGGGTGCTTTCCTTGTTGCAACAACTAAGGCTGAGATCTCGCTCTGTGTCAGGCAGTACGTTAAGCATTTTAGTGGCTTCAACTCATTTAATTCCCCCAAAGCCCCAATGGAGCTGGCATTTATTCCTATATTTAAGAAGAGGAAAGTGAGGTGCAGAAGCAAATTACTCAAGGTCACACAGTTAGGAAGCAGCAGAGCTGGGATTCAAACCCACGTCTGTTTGAGTCCAGAGTCTGAATGCTTACCCTTGACATCCTGTAAGAAAAACTGAGAGTAATTCCACATTTGCAAATTTTCTTCTCTCTCTGAACTCCTCATCCTCCCTACTCCTGGGCTTTACTGCCAGAATGTTGGCTAATACATTCCTCATTTGACACCAGAAATTAGATACAGGAAGGAAGGGGAGCAGAAACACAGAAGGGAAATTGTTACTTGTACAGAACTGGAATTCTGATTAAAAGATAAATGGCAGCAGAGATTTCAATTAGTTTAGAGAAGGATTTTGGGTAATGTGGGCTTCAACTGTGATTAATTTATTCTGAAAAATATCAGCTTTATTCAGTAAACAAATTTCTGTTATATCAGAGGCTATGTAAAATAAGGCTATAATAATGAGGTGAGAAGCCATAGGCAGAAGGATGTTTCTGAGATGTCCTTGGCTATTCTAACCCACAGTCCTACTTTGTGCTAGGTATGTGAAATTTTCAGAATGCTTAATAAACATTCAGCCTAAACCCAGGGTTGTTGGTATTATGCTGAAGAAAAAGGTAAGTGATGTGTTGTGGAAAATTTTGCCTTAGAAACAGACCCATATAACACTAGCATTTCCAAACTCAGGACTCAAGACCATGTTCAATCTATTTCAAAACACGTACATCCAAAATAGGCAAATGTAGATAGAGAAAAGTAGATTAGCAGTTGTCTGAAGTGGGGATGTTTGGAGTAACCGTGACTGCTAATGGCTATGAGATTTCCTTTGTGGGTGATTAAATGTACTAGGGTTGATTGTGGTGATGGTAAATTCAGCTCTATAATTTTACTACAGATCACTGAAATGCATACATTAAACAGGCAAGTTTAATAGTATGTGATTTATCAAAAATTTAAAAACATATAGTTTTGTTAATTCATTTTCCTGTGGCTTACCCAATTAATTTAAACTGGTGAGGTACAGTTGATTGAGATAATTTACATGCTGAGGACAGGGATGGTGTGCACAGGGCCTATCCTTCTGGCCTGGGCACAGCTGGCTTCTGCCACTATGATGAAACATGACAGTAGGATGCTTTACCTTCTTGGCTAAGAAACTGCTCAAAAAAGACCCAGACATTTTTGTTTATCTGGCAATGGACACGTCCTTGGATGGGAACCTCTCCATCCCAAACTATGATAGGCTTTTGGCAACTTCTGCCCTGAAAAATAAAGCCCAAGTAGTGGAAATAGTTTCATGATGCTGAAAGCCAATGTACTAAAATCCATGAACTTTATTACATGAAAAGGCTCAGACTTGCATTTTGAATTTGCTTTTATGAGAGGTGGCGGCGGGGGCGGGGCAGAGGAAAAGGGGATGAAGGAAGGAATTAAGATGTGTTATGTACACATATCAACCCCACACAAGGAATGCAAACTTTACATACTGTGATATGGACTGATAACTAATAAATGAATAAAATGATTCTAACATGCATGTGTCTATTTCCTCAACCAGAACAAATCAGAAGCTATTGATTATGAAAGGAAGGTTACTAGATACAAACTGAACTAGTGAGAGGTGACTAGTAACAGGGCTGGGGGTATAGCTCAGTTGCAGAATGTTTGAACAAGCACAAGGCTCTTGGTTTGAAAACAAAAAGAGGCGACTGCCACCAGCCAGGGGAGGCCACAACATGCAGATGTAAAGGGGTCCATGCGGTTCAGGTGCAAAGAGCCCCCATGCTGTGATTCTGAATCATCAAGAAGAGCCTAAAGTGTGATTTATAGTGCTTTATTTATTCTTCCACAGACTCATTCAAATGTAGCCTATGAAATAAAAAGTTAATCCATAGCTCCTGAATCGAAGTTAATAAATATTCATTAAATAGCTACAAAACATCTTGTCAACTTTGCTAATTGCTATATTTGGCATTCATAAAACATGACACATGAAATTGATTGTGGGCCTACAGTATATGAGAGCATAGATGACCCTAGATGACAACTACAGAAAAATCATGCTCTGAAGGTAAACTAAATGAGCTATGCATAGCTAAGTACTTTTTTTTTTTTTTTTTTGGTACCAGGGATCAAACTCTGGTCCTTGCACTTGCGCAGCAGGCGGCGAAACCACTGAGCTAAATCCCCGGCCCCATAGCTAAGTAGTTTAAAAAGCAATATTTAAAAATCCCTTCAGGGCTGGAGATATAGCTCAGCAATGCAGCACCTGCCTGGCAAACGCAGGGTCCTAAATTCCATTCCAAACAAACAAACAAACAAAAATCCCTTCAAAAATTTTACAATACAAAGTCTCAGCTGGGTGTGATGGTACCTGCTTGTAATCCCAGCACTCCGGCAGGCTGATGCAGGAGGATGGCAAGTTCAAGCCCATGCTGGGCAACTTAATGATTTAGTGAGACCCGGTTTCAAAAAAATAAAATAAAAATAAAAAAGGGCTGGATATGCAGTGTGAAAGCTCTGGGTTCAATGCCCAGTACCTCATTATTGCACACTGTGGATAAGATGTGGATAAGATAGGATGTAGATGGACAGTGCTGCTAAAGCCAACCCTTAGACAGGTCTGGGACTCCAGTCTCCTCCCCTTGAACCTTTCTTCTCTCTTTTCCAGAACCCAATTCCATGGTAAATCAACTCCTCTTCCTCCCCAACCTAGCGCAGGGTACTCCTCTCTCCCTGCTTCAACCTTCCAGCCATGGGGTGGGAGATGGACCCCTCCATTCAGGTGTACATAGATGGACATTTAGATTGTACTTTTGGACTATGTGAATAATACTGCTATAAACATGTGCATTCAAGTTTTTGTGTGACCGTATGTTTTCATTTCTCCTGGGTATATCACTAGGAGTGGAACTGCTGCGGCAGGTGGTAACATTATGTTTTTAACCTTTGAAGACAGATCAGACTGTTCTTAACCACTGCATCACTCTGTATTCCCACCAGTAATGTGTGAGGGCTCCAATTTCTCCATGTCCTTGCCAATACTTGTCACTGTCTATCTGGCTGATTACTCATCCTGGGGCAGGAGGAAAGTGGCGTATCATTAGGGTTTTGACTTGCATCTCCTTGATGGCAAATGATGTTGAGCACCTTTTTAGGTACTTATTTGCATTTGTGTATCTTCTAGGGAGAAACGTCTATTCGGATCCTTGCCCATTTTCAAACTGAGTTATCTTTTTATTTTTGAGTGTCTAACATTTTTTTTTTTTGGTACCAAGGATCAAACCCAGTACCTTGTGCTTGCAAGGCAGGTGTGGCACCACTGAGCTAAATCCCTGGCGCGCGTGTCTATCTTTTAAAGATGCTCAAGTTTCTACCATTGTAAAGCAAGTAAACCTATGGTCAATTCTGGATCCCTGCAGCACCGATCCTTTAAAATTTTTTTCTAATTAAAAAAATTTTTTTTTCTGGCAGAATTTCTTGAATGAGTTCCCTACACTTGTGGTTTCCCCTGGCTTTTTTCAAATCTGGCTCCTGAACCTAGCACTTCACTGGAACTGCTCTTGGCAAGGTCACCAGTGGCTGTTCTGCATTCTTAGCTCGATTCTCCTATGGTATTTAACACCATCATCATCTTCTTCTTGAGTGAAACACTAGAGATCCTTGGCTTAAGTGACAGCACTTAAGTGCTTCGGCTTTTCCCATCCATGTCAGTTTTCTCACTGGCTCCTCTTATTCTGCTCATTCTTAGATCTTGATCTTCTTCGAGATTTTGTCCTCACCACTGGGCAATCCTGTTCATTCTCGAAGGTTCTTTGATCATCACTTACTGCTGATGACAATGACATGTCCTTTACCCCTGCTGCCTAGCTTCCTCCGGGGCTACCAGTGTGCATATGTGTCTGATCAACACCTCTGCCTGGATTCCCGTCAGCCTTCAAACTTTATCCCACACCAAACGCTTCACCGTTACCTCTCCTGCCTTCCGTTCTCACGAAATAACATCAATCACCCACGTCTGTCAATGTGGACAAACTTGAAGTCCTTTGCATCCCTCTACTTCCTCCCATCCTGGCTGTCACCACAACACCCTCCCGATTGGTCTCCCCACCACACACGCCTCTCCAGCTGCAGCCAGTGATCTTTCCAACATGCAAATCTCGCCCTGTCATCCTCTGTGAGAGATGGACTAGTCACACTCGGGGTTCAGTCCCACATTATGAACTTTACATCTGCACCGCCGTGAGAGTTATTTAACTTCTCCAAGCCTTAGTTTTCTCATTTAAAAAGTAGGACCATTTGGAGCAGCAACTAACAGGCCTTCCCGAGGACGAATTCGGTCTGTGACAATCACTGACCTGGGATTAAAACCTTTCAGTTAAGGCAAATCACCAGTTTAGCCCTAAAATGTGTGGATGACACGTAGTGACTAAAAAACTCTTTTACAGACTCCCGAGGACGCTGAAGCCCGAGGGCCAACTCCAGCTCCCAGGCTGCAGCTCACGGCTAGAGGCGGCGGGTTCTGGGAGCCCCGAGGCCGCAGGACCGCGCAGCTCCTTCCCCGCCCTCGCCCGACCTGTTATCCAGCAAACCCCGAGCGCCCGGCGCCTCTGCAGCCGCCCGGCCCTCCCCACCCCACCCAGCCAGGGCTCTGAGGGCGCGGAGTGCGGGCCGCCCCCCGAGGGTCCCCCGCCCGGCCAGCCCTTCCGGAGCGGGGTGCTCACCTTGAAGGACATCGTGCACATGTCCGCGGCCGCCCGGGTTCCCGCGCCCGGCGCCTTCCGCAGAGGGGCGGCCCCGGAGCCGCGCTCCCGCCGCAGACCGGGCCGCCGGGGGCGGGGGAGGGGAGGAGGAGGCGGGCCCCGCTCGCGCCACCCGCGCCACGCGCTCCACGCGCGCCCTCACTGCTGCAGGTCGCGGACGCGCTCCGCTCTGGGCGTACACGCGCGCGCGCCCCCGAACTCCGCCTGTCCTGTGCGCAGTCCACACCGGGCCACGTTCTCACACTCTCCCACTCCGCACACGCTGTGCATTCTCCACAGCCCACACGGGCTCACGCGCGACACTCCGCACGCCCACGCTGTGGCGGGAATCCGAGAGCCTGGAGAGACCCACGGACGGAAACTGGAGGGCTTTATTTCAGGTTTCAGGTGGACACAGCCTCAACGCGCTGAGTTCAGCTTTCATACATTTCATGGAGAGGGTGGTTTTTCTGGTGACTAGCAAGTGAATTTACGGGAACAGGACGAGGGCAGTTTTGTAACTTTGCCTTGAAAGGAGACAGTGTCTCATGAATCGTGAGAACAGAGCGTCGTAACCTTTGTGTACAGGACCCAGTTGTCAATTTTGTCTGCCAGAACAAGGAGTTACAGCTACAGGGAGAGGGGTGCCCAAGGCTGGGAAGGCCTTGTTTTTCTTCAACACAGCCACATTTTTTTTGTTGTTGTTGTTACTGGGGATGGAACTCAGGGACCTTGCACTTGCGAAGCAGGTGGCGGCACCACTGAGCTAAATCCCCGGCCCAACACAGCCACATTCTTTACCCCCCCCCCACCACGCACACACATCTCCACACACAGAGCTCTCCACAGTGGGACTTCAGACCCACACCCCTCACACACACATCCCTGAACTCCAAAGTCAGCGTACACACTCTTCACAGCCCATGCAGACAAGTTCACACAGCATTCACACACACACACACACACACACACACACACACACACACGTCCTGGGAAAGCGCTGAAAAGCATGACAAAAGCATTTGACCGCAGTCTCATTATTCTTGCAATTGCATTTTGTTTTTATCTTTCTCATGTTTTTCTTTCTCATTTTTTAAGAGCTTCTAAGAATTTTTCTAAGACTCTCCCACCCTCCTCAGAGGAGACACACCTTTTGATTGCACAAGTAATGGTGGGAGTGTGGACTGGAGTGTAGCTCAGTGGTAGAGTGCTTTCCTAGTGTGCCCCAGGAACTGGGCTCAATTCCCAGCATCATACAAAATAAAATGGTGCTAGTTTCCTTTTTGAAGGAGAAAGGCAAATTTTGAAACATACTCAGAGTCCTCGTCCGTTTGGTGACATCAGTCTCCTCCTGTGGCGGAATGCCGCTCCCCCAAACCCCTGAAGGAAGGGCTGTCCACTCCTTCATGGATAATGCTTCCTGTCCAGGCATGGTTTGGGGAATAATGCGAGAGCCATATTTTTATTTAAAGATATTCTTTTAAAGTATAAATGAAAAAATAGCCTTTTAAGGAAATTCAAATGCTAACATTAAAAAAGTGGATGTCTGGGGCTGGGGGTTTAGCTCAGTGGTGCCGCCGCCTGCCTTGCAAGTGCAAGGTCCTGAGTTCAATCCCCGGTACCAAAACAAACAAACGGAAATAAGTGGATGTCTCACCCTTCATACTACAGGAATCCACTTATTCATTCTCTCCTCACCTGTCATCTCCCTCTCTCTTCTCAATTGAATTTACAACTACTTAATTGAAAAGTTTAGAAGTGCAACTACAAAGAATAGTTAATAATAAAAATGTAAATATCCTTTGTGGATAAAGATACATCACTTTGTATTTAAAGTAATTTAAAAATAACATTCTGTACTTTTGTCTATAGATGAGTGTCTTTGGTGAGACAGTTTTCAAGTTGTGTCACAACTTTGTTATACACGATCAGGCATCAGAGGTTTTGCTTTAATTGTTTTGGTAAATAAAATGGAGAAGGGAAAGGATTAATATTTTGAGGACTTTCTAGATACCAGGTGCTTTACTTATGAAAACGCTGTGAGGTGAGTATTGCAGCCATTTCACAGATGAAAAGCCAAGGTTCTGAAAGATGGAGTAATTTGCTCAAGAGTGACAGGGCTAGACTATTCATTAATTATGTCTGATGTTGTAGTCAGCATTAGCAAGGGAGATAGATTTAATACAGGACACATAATTTATAGGATTATTTTATAATAGTCACCCAAAAAGTTTAATACAGAGGAGTGCAAGAGATCTAGCCATGCACTAAAGATCTGAAGAACCCAGCCAAGGGCCTGGGTCCCACAGCTATGTCCTGCAAAAGTCCAGCTAAAGGCCTAGACCTCAAGGCAAAGTCCTCCATGAATCCAGTTAGTGGCCTAGAGTCCATGGCAATGTCTCATGCTTGTCTGTATTGAGGATCTGCACCTGGAAGCCCCGAAGGTCAGTGGTGGAAGCCAGAAAGCCTACACTGGCAGGGTGAAGGATTTGTGCCACCAGGGTGAGGGGTCTACACTGGACCCAGGAAGTGATGCTTGTGGTGAAGATCAGCCATTCCCAGTGACAATGAGGACCTGAGCTCTTCCTCTGATGAGAATAGCCAAGTTCACATCAGGAAAACCAACCACAAGTTTCTCCTAGAAAATCAACAGCCCACGATGTTCCCCTCCAGTTCTCTTTTTATGCTATTGGCAACAATCCTCAGGTGGGTCTTCCACGCCCAGATTGATTCAGTTCGGCTGGGTGTTCCAAGTTGACCGTTAGTTAGTCTATCACATCTGGCTTCAAAGCTCTTTTCCATTCCACTACCACACTTGCTGCTCAAAGTTGTGTAGGGAAGAGTCTCTGGCCAGGGTGCTGATGGGACTCTTGTCAGTTTTTGGAAAGAATGTCCCTAATTCACTGTCTCACACACCTGGATGATAGAATTGTTGTCAGTCTCCATATGTGTCTTATACACCATCCCACACAGTTGGCTAAAGTCATCTTCATAAAAACAGCCCCTAAATAGAACAAAGCCCTCATAGTCTCAAGCAGACCCATTTTTTGGAAATGTTAATTAATTTTATTCACATTTCCCCAAATATATGCAATATTAATGTAAGTTAAAAACAGTACATTGTTCTTAGAAAATGCAACCCAAAGCTTTCATTGCCTGAGTTTTGTGATTATAATGTTCTTCCAGAATTTTAGTGAATGTGTTCAAAACAAACTGTAACAGAAAATCTCCCCTAAATACAGTGTCATTATTATAAAAGAAATCCAAAGACTGGGGTGGGGGATTTAGCTCGGTGGTTCTGGTGCCTGCCTTGCAAGGGCAAGGTCCTGAGTTTGATCCCTGGTACAAAAAAAAAAAAAGAAATCCAAAGAGAAGTCTCTAATGTCTTCATTTAGGTAACTGGAATTTCAAAATGGAAATAATTATTGAATGAGCAAAGAGTGCTTTTCTATTTCACCCTAACAGGGGGAGGCAATTTTGGGCCGAAACTCTAAGACATAGCCCGTTGCATAGGTCTTGTTACCCTGAATAACTTCCGTTCATCTTGTACAAAAACCCACTTCAAGAGCAAATATTCTTAAGTGACCAGTCATGTTTTTAGGATCACCTTTTGGTAGGAGTTGATGGGCCACACAAAACCTTTTATGGGTCAGGCATGGACAGAATCAGCCCCCCAAATAGCAGCACAAACTTCATCCACAGTGAAATGTGTGAGACCATGAGCTACTCGCTCTTGAAGAGTCACTCCCCAGGAGGCTCGGTTTCACTTGTAATGTACGCGTTGACCCCTCTTCTTGTGACACGTTGAGCTCAGCCCCACAACCTAAGCATACACGCCTTTTAAGTTACCAGGGACTGACCTTTAGTAAATCACAAAGATACCACAGTTGGAACAGTGTGGACATGTACATTCCACACTGCATGCAAGTCAGACAACCTACAACCACTTATGCCTTCAGTTAACTTTATTTTTTTTGGTACTGGGGATTGAACTCAGGTCCTTGCACTTTTGAGGCAGGCGGTGGAACCACTGAGATAAATTCCCAGCCCCAGTTAACTTTTAAAATGTATAAAAGCTGGGCACAGTGGCACAGGCCTGTAATCTCGGCTACTAGAGAGGCTGAGGCAGGAGGATTGTGAGTTCAAAGCTAGTCCAACAATTTAGCAAGACCTTATCTCAAAATAAAAAATGAGAAGGACAGGATGTAGCTCAGTTGTAGAGTGGTTGGCTAGTATATGTAAGGCCCTGGGTTTAATCCCAGGAACCATCTAAAAAAAAACCAAACAAATATGAAGGGGCCGAGGAATTTTATGAGGTAGAATACTTTAAAAGCATGAAGTATACGACACCCCCAGAACAAGAGCAGTTAGAAGAATAAAGTAACACACACACACACACACACACACACTCAAAAATCTCAAAACATGTTTAGGGCAAATTATTCTAATTAAGAATTTAAAATTAAAAACATTTTTTTTGGTTTAGTTTTAGTTTTTTTGTTTTTTGTTTTTGGTATCAAGGACTGAACTCAGGACCCTGCCCTTGCAAGGCAGGCGGTAGAACCACTGCTAAAATTAAAAAATTTAAAAGACTTTTATGTATCATTTATCTTTAAATATTACCAGATCCTCAAACATGTTTAGACTTTTGCCAAAATGAAAGGTAACTTTAAAACATCTCACTGTCTTGCAATTTGTCCCAAGAATTAGGAGCATGATTCAAACCACATTAGTTTCTTAGTCTAAGAAAAAAGTAGGACCTTAAAATTGATACAACTTTAAAATTTTCATAAGCTCAAAAGATAATTGCCACTGTAAAAAAAAAGAGGAGAAAAGAAATCTTAGCCATTAAGAACTTGAGCAGAGGAGGAGGATTCACAACTAATTCATACTGATTTATTTGCTCTTCATGTGCATTAAAAATTCTTTAGAAATTGTGCTCATTTGTCCCATACTGAAACAAAGGGAGGAGGATGCACAATATTGACCTCTAGTGTACTTCTTCCATCTGGAGTTTTTAAAAAATTTCAATGTAATACAAGTAGATATTAATAAAGAAAAT